CTTAGCAAAAGCTTGCACCCTACTCCACATTGCACAAATCCATTCCACAACAACTTCTCCACATCTTCCATTGATGTGATCTCTTTTTCGTTAACATGTTTACCCCTTTTGCCACATGAGTTTCCTTGATTTGTTTTTTCTTTGCCAGGATGGAAGTGATTGTTGATTTGGATTTCCCATACATCCTGGCAAGTTTCAGCACCCACACACCACTCTCACGTTTTTCAATAACTTCTTTATTAAATTCCATCATGTTTCTCACTTTCTTTACCAAAGGGCTGGCACTATGAACTTTCTTTGGGCCCATGGTGGCTTATTTCACAGTCGCACTTAACCCGTAAATGGTCCAAACGTATATATACATTTTTACCGCTACTGACCCAAATGTATATTTACGTTTTATTTTTCATTCCTTCAAAATTGGAGCGATAGGCCTGAGTCGCCTAGACATGAGAGAATGGATGTGCGCACTCAGTGTGCGCAGTATCAAAAAAAAATCTGGGACGCCTGGGTACCGCATGGTAAGACCAGTTACATTCAGCTCCATCTTGGGTCAACATCATGGCACATCCTCGTGATTCACTCACGCCTCGTCATATTAACACTATTATTTGAGGAAAGTGATATGGAAGGTCAGTTTAGTGGATATGACACAGATGTGGCTACTAATAATCAAGGAAATAGTGAAAATATAGATGATAACCCAGATGACCCTCAGCCCATCACCTCTGGGGTGGCCAGTGTGGCCACACCAGACCCTGGGCCAGCATTCTGGGTTGGCCAGTGTGGCCACACAAAACCCTGGGCCAAGCACTTCTGGGGTGGCGAGTGTTACCCATAGGCAAGTACGCAAGAGGAAACTATCATTTTCCCGGTGTTTTAGTAGTGATAGTGAAAGTTATATAAGTGATGATGAGATTGATTTTATGCCATTAGAGGATTCGTCTAGTGACAGTGCCATTATTCACCCGTGAAGGTACTTTTTGGCGTCATTACCAACGTTCAGGCAGTGTGCCACGTGCAATCAGAGGCAAGGGTCGTGCAGGTCACGATCCAAAACCCTGCCACTGATAGTGAAAGTGATAATGAAGGTGAATATGCGGGGATGGAGGAAATAGTGGTGGGGGGGCATGGTGCCTGGACCACATGGCGCGGTGGGTGGGGCAGACAAAGGGACCCCTCGGCACCCCTCAAACCCTGTGCTGCCACCCCTCCTGTCCCCCCTCATTTCTCCCCTCGCCCCATGCCAGAGGTCCCCCGTTTCACATGTGACTGGAGTGCAACTGGACACAAAGTATATTCGTGCCAGAGCCTTTTGATTTTGATGCGAGCGGAAGTGGCATCCTGCCAGAATGTCCCACAACGAATGAGCCTACAGAGTTAGACTTTTTCCAGTTATGCTTTGACGAGCCTATAATGAACTTGATAGTGACCCAGACGAACAATTATTACCGTTACATCATGGACAATACACCAGATGTTGGGGAATCATCACGGCTGCGTAGATGGAAAGATACAACAGCGGATGAAATGTATTTATTCCTTAGCACTGTCATGCTGTGCCACATACCTATAAGAACAATATACGTAACTACTGGGCCATAGACCACTTCATCAGTACTCCTGTCTTCCATGACCTCCTTCCCTGCAACAGATTCATTCTGTTGTTACGAATGTTGCACTTCTCAGACAGGAATAGGCCCAACAGGAATGACTTCTATACAAAATCGGGAAGTGGTTATTTTATATGAAGCAGAAATTCAGTGCCTACTTTTATCCCCTTTAAGAATATTGTTGTTGACGAGTCCTTGGTTTTGTTCAAGGACGCTTGTATTCAAAAAATATATACCAAGCAAACGTCATCCTTTGGGATAAAACTGTTTGTTATGTGTGACTGTGAGAGTGGTCTTGTATTAGATGTGATTGTATACACCGGGGAAAAAAACACTTGACGATACCAGACGCATGTTGGGCATTTCTGGTGATGTTGTTCGAAAAATGATGGAACCATACCTTGGCAAGGGCCATACATTGTACACAGACAACTGGTATACAAGCCCTAGGCTCACTGATTTCCTATGTTGTGAACAATACTGATATATGTGGAACAGTGAGAGGAATAAAAACTATGCCACGGTTTTGTGGAGGCAGTATTGAAGGTGCTAGTGCAAGCATTTTATGCCAATGACATCTGGCACTGACGTGGCATGACAAACAGGAAGTGACATTGTTGTCAACCATCCACAGAAAAAGAGATGGTACAAACAAAAAAAAGTGAACAGGGAGACCAAAGAACGTATTGTCAAGCCAGCTGCTGTTGTCGACTATACAAACAATATGCGACTCGTTGACAAGTGTGACATGATGATAGGGTTGTTTACTGTGTGTGTAGGAGTCGCAAAGTGGTATATAAAATGTTTTTTCACCCTTTTAGACATTGCAGTGCTCAATGCATTCAATATGTACGAAATAAAGACTGGAAAACGACAACGTTTTGCAGAATTCTCCTTGAATGTCGTAAAACAGATTGCAAAAAAGTTTTGGTACCACACCTGTACCTGCCCCTCAACAGGACGTCACACCCCAAACTGTCCCCAACCACAGCCCGTGGGGGAAGTGCAGACCAAATCATCCCTAACTGTCACTACTTGGTACCCAAAACCACTACCCAAAGAAAAGCATTCCCAGGAAAAAGTGTGTTGTGTGCTACCACCACAAAACGACCCCAACAGCGAAAGGACACACGATACATTTGTCGCCAGTGTGGGGTGGCACTCTGTATGAATCCATGCTTCATGGAGTATCATACAATCGTGGAGTTCTAGAAACATAAGTGGGACATGTAAATACTTGTATATAGTTGTAGATAATAATGTGTGATTCAGCCAGGTGTGCAAAATCACCTGTCAGTGTGTACATGTGTGTCTGTGACAATATGATAATAATTTTGTATATATTATTGGTGTATAAGCAACAATTGACATTGAAATCAAAAGAATTACTGTAAAACTAAGTATCATATCAAGAAAACCAAGAAAAGTAAAAAAAAAAAAAATGGAAAAAAAAAAAAAACGGTAAATATGTAGTTTCTGCAAGCGGCTGTGCTCCATGTTGCCGTCAGGTGATCGCCAAGTGCCAACTTTGCGGCCTCATATCTCGGTAAGTACTGACCCTAAAAATTTTTTTTTATCCTTTAACACTTAGAAAAATGTGCCCCTTTTTTCTATAAAAAAAAAAACGATTTTTTTATTTTTCAAAATATTCGGGGCACTAGGGTAGTGAACATATATATACGTTTGGACCGTTTACAGGTTAATAAACAAGCACAAAAACCAATGAGTTTACAGAAATGTTTGGATGAATGCATGGAGTATATGCTCATTCACCAAAAGATACAGGGATACTGACTTACCTACGTGCTGCTTCCCGGCAGGAGGCGGGATGACGCGTATAATATGGACGATTTATGAGGCACCAGCCTAAATACAAATCAGCCAATAAATGCAGCGGCCTATGGTCGGGGTTTCACTGGACACAGATTATCATACATAGCAGCATATGTGTAGAGAACCTAAGATAACCCAAAAAAGTCAGACAAACTATGTCCATTGGGGTCTTTTAGGACCCCAATGGAAATAAGGGAAATATTCATCGCATTTATGGATTTAGAAAAGGCATGCATTAGGGTGGGTAGGGAAGCAATATTGCAGATGTTGCAAGTGTATAGAACAGTCAGTAAGTTACTAAATGCTGTTAAGAGTTTTTTATGAGGACAGTGGGGCTCAGACAGGGATGTGTAATGTCACCATGGTCGTTTAACATATTTATAGATGCGGCTGTAAAATAAGTAAATGCTAAGGTGTTGGGGAGAGGAGTGGGATTAAATTATGGGGAATGAAATACACAATAGGGGTTGATACAGTTACTTTTTGCTGATGATACTGTGCTTTTGGAAGATTCTAAAGAAAAGTTGCAAAGTGTAGTGGGCAAGTTTGGGAGGGTGTGTATAGAAAGAAAGTTGAAAGATAACATAGATAAGAGTAAGGTGATGAGGGCATCAAGCAATGTGGATAAAGAAAAATTGGATACCACATTGGAGGGAGTATGGAAGAAGTGAACGTGTTCAGATATTTAGGAGTTGACTTGTCAGCAGATGGGTTTATGAAGGAAGAGGTTAACCACAGAACTGATCAAGAAAAAAAGGTGAGTGGTGCTTTGAGGTGTCTGTGGAGGCAAAAACCGTTATCCATGGAGGCAAAGAAGGGAATGTATGAGAGTACAGTGGTTCCAATACACTCACATGGGTGTGAAGCATGGAATGTGAATGCTGCAACAAGGAAGAGGCTGGAGGCAGTGGAGATGCTGTGTCTACAGGCAATATGTGGTGTAAATATTATGCAGAGAATTCGTAGTGTGTAAATTAGGTGGTGTGGAGTTACAAAAAGTATTATTCAGAGGGCTGAAGCAGGGTTATTGAGGTGGTTTGGTCATTTAGAGGATGGAGCAAAATAGAATGACTTGGAGGGAGTATAAACCCATAGTGAAGGGAGGAGGGGTAGGGGTGGTCCTAGGAAAGGATGGAGGGATGGGGTAAAAGAAGTTTTGTGTGCAAGGGGCCTGGACATGCACCAGGCATGTCTGAGCATGCTAGATAGGAGTGAATGGAGACAAATAGTTTTTGGGACTTGATGAGCTGTTGGAGTGTGAGCAGGGTAATATTTTGTGAAGTGATTCAGGGAAACCAGTTAGCCCAACTTGAGTCCTGGAGGTGGGAAGTACAATGCCTGCACTTGAAAGGAGGGGTTTCGGATATTAGCAGCTGGAGTGACATCTAAACTGTCATATCTGGGCACCATCGCAAAGACAGTGATTATGTGTGAATGATGGTGAGTGTTGAATAATGATGAAAGTGCATTTCTTTTTTGGGTCACCCTGCTTCTGTGGGAGACGGCCGGTGTGTTGAAAAAAAAAAATTCATGGATTTAAAAACTTGGAAGTACCTGTGAGAAATGGTGCGTTTGTGATGCTGGTGTAAAGAACGCACGGTCACCCTGGTAAGTAGAGTCTTGGGAGAGGAGACCATCTGTCTGGCTTTGGAACTGGTCTACCATATAGGAATCTTGAGACAATTCTGCCTGTGACAATCCTTGAGAGAAACCACTCAGGCCAGGTCCAGACATACCCTGTTCAAAATAACTTTATTAATATCAAATTTTAACCATACATGATGACAATCAAGTCTCACTAACACATTACCCAATTTCCTTAATGTGAGGGAGGCATTATACAGTGGACTATTTGTATCACTGGCTAGTTAGGTTTCCATTTCTCTATGCCAATCATATCTAATATGTAATGAAAATACTACTGTATATGGAAAGTTCAATATACCTGTGACAAGTGCCCCTGTGTGAGGCCAGGCTGAGAATAGCTCTGCATTGAAGGGTCTTGACTGAAAGGCTGTGAGAGCTGAAGAGCACTTGCCCCACCCATGTTCTTGCCAAGTTTTCTTGATCCAGCTCTGCCTCCACGTGCACCACCTCGACCACCTCGTGCTTGTGCAAGTGCCTGTTGGTGTTGTTGGTAAAATCGTGGTGGGATGTGTGCCATATTCATGAACATCCCCACTGGTACTGGTAAGTTGTTGAGGCCAGGCTGGTTATGTTCAGCCTTGATATAATCTAGGGAATCATGTGCACGCCCATACATGTCAAACTGAGGACCTGATAAAATACAAGAAAGAAATGTTCAGTTATTAGGCTTACCCCAAGGGTACTTTTAATGGTTCTCTTAATTATTATTTCTTCCTCATATAACTTCAGAATGCTTCAGCTAATAGGCTTCAAATTTTCCATGTTTATTTACTGTAATGGGAGAACAGTTCATGCAACTATTAGGATATGCAGGTGCCCTTTGGTCAATATTATACAGCCCATTCCTGAAATTTCAATTCCATGTAATAACTTATGAAAAGCCTTTACAGATAAAGGTCGAGCTGAGAAGAGGGTTAGAATTATTATTGGAATAAGCGTCATTTTGCTAATTCAATTTTTAAACTTTTAAAATGGCATATTCCCCCCCCCCCCCCATGGCATATATATATTGACTATGAATCCTTTGAAAAACTCAAATAGTTAATGGCTGATGCATCTTATGGAAATGATCAGTGCAAATTTGCTAATACACTAAAATAGTTAAGCAGCTTGGAATCATTGGAGTCCAAACAATAAACAATAACTGGAGAATGTCTCTTTTGGTTGATTTTAAGTTTTACGGCTGAGTGTTTTCTTGAATGGAGGCTCTTGTTATTGGGCTGCATTAAACCCAATTTACCAATTTCATTCAACATATTATAATACCGACTTCCATTCAGTAACCAAAGAATACCTCTTGTAATCAACTTCAACCTTTAACTGTTAATGCTCCTTAACCCTTCAGGGTCCAGACCCCCAATCTGAAACTTGTCAACAGATTCCAAGAATTAAAAAAAAAAAAAAAAAAAATTTTTAATTTTCTTATGAAATGTAGTGGAACCTCGACTTATGAGTTCAATCCATTCCATGACCTAGCTCATAACTCAATTTGCTCGTATATCAAATCAATTTTCCTCATTTAACCCTTTCAGGGTTGGTGACGTACTAGTATGGCTTGCTCGCCAGGGTTGGTGCCGTACTAGTACGTGTATATTCTAGCGGCTTCAAATTAAGCGGGAAACAGCTGGTAGGCCTAGTTGTGAGAGAATGGGTCTGTGTGGTCAGTGTGCGTGGTAGGAAAAAATTCAGGAACCCAGTGGTGCATTGTGGGAATGCCATTTTAGTACACCATGCTCACCATGCCTTGTGGTAAGAAATTCCTCACTCCTCAGCAAACTGGGACACTTTTGTTCCCCAGTGACAGTTCTAATACAGATGGAAGTGTCAGTGAAGATGACTTTCAAGGTTTTGATGACGTTGTGACTGAAACTAATGACCATAATACCGGTAATAGTGAGGAAAACCCAGACGACCCTCAACCTTCTACCTCTCGTGCTGGGCCGTCTTGTTTATGTTCAGTTGTACCAGAACAAAAGAGGAAACTCTTATTTTCCCATATCCAGGACTCAGATGTGAGCAATGGTGATGATAGTGATAGTGAACATGAACTCCAAGCTCTTGAAAACAGTTCCAGTAGTGAGAGTGAAGTAGAATATTCTCCAGTGAAGTGTCAGTATATACGACGGTATATGCGCTCTGGTAGTGTGCCATATGCTATTCCAAAGGCAAGGAGTACATCTCGGAGTACATCCCGTGGCTGTACAACAGGAACAGATAGTGAAAATGAAGATGATAGTGTTGCAATTGGGATGGAAAATGTGCATGCATCTGTTGGTGGTAGTGGTGGTGCCAGCCATGAGGCACCAGCAGTGGACCATACTGCCACCCATGCCGCTGACTCAGCAGAACTACAATGAAGGCCACCATCCCCCACCCACCCACCACACCAACATCCACAACCACAACCACCTATCAGTATCCAGTACCCACCAGCAGACTGCACCTGGTATTGGCAGGATGCTGCCAATTTTGTTCCCAATGCCCATCACTTTGATGAAAGTCCAAGTGGAATATGGCCATCTTGTACACTTGAGAACAATGCCACTGAGCTGGAATGTTTCAAGTTATTTTTTGACGAACCCCTGATGGAAATTATTGTCAGAGAAAGCAACAGATACTTCAAGTACACCATGACAAACACAATACTTTCACCAAACTTACACCTACACCAGTGGAAGGAGACAGCTGTGGCTCAGATGTATCTTTTGTTTGCCACAATAATGCTTATGCCACAAGTGTATAAGCACAGTGTCAAATCATACTGGTCAACAGACTACCTGATTGCATCCCCAGGTTTCACTGATGTAATAGGAGTGAATCGATCTGTGCTACTATTACATATGCTTCACTTCTCAGACAAAACCAGGCCTGACAGAAACGACAGGTTATATAAGATTAGGAATGTGTTTGTGTATCTGAACAGAAATTCAATATGTATTTTTATCCCTTCAGGAAGCTTGTTATTGATGAGTCTTTGATTCTGTTCAAAGGAAGACTCTCATTCAAGAAGTACATACCAAGCAAGAGGAAACACTTTGGTATAAAGTTGTTTGTTCTTTGTGATTGCTACAGTGGTCTTGTATTGGATATAATTATGTACACTGGAAGTAATACATTGCGAGATACCAGGAAGTTACTGGGTATCACTGGTGATGTGGTTAGAACAATGATGGAACCATATCTTGGTAAGGGGCATACATTACATACTGATAACTGGTACACAATAAAGGTAATAGGTTGGTAGTCAGCAACCGCCCAGGGAGGTACTACCATTCCTGCCAAGTGAGTGTAAAACGAAAGCCTGTAATTGTTTTATATGATGATAGGATTGCTGGTGTCCATTTTTCTGTCTCAAAAACATGCAAGATTTCAGGTATGTCTTGCTACTTCTACTTACACTTAGGTCACACTACACACACGTTTTTTTTTTTTTTTCAACAAGTCAGCCGTCTCCCACCGAGGCAGGGTGACCCAAAAAAGAAAGAAAATCTCCCCCAAAAAAATACTTTCATCATCATTCAACACTTTCAACACACTCACACATTATCACTTTTTGCAGAGGTGCTCAGAATACAACAATTTAGAAGCATATACGTATAAAGATACACAACATATCCCTCCAAACTGCCAATATTCCAAACCCCTCCTTTAAAGTGCAGGCATTGTACTTCCCATTTCCAGGACTCAAGTCCGACTATATGAAAATAACCGGTTTCTCTGAATCCCTTCACTAAATATTACCCTGCTCACACTCCAACAGATCGTCAGGTCCCAAGTACCATTCGTCTCCATTCACTCCTAGCTAACCCGCTTACGCACGCTTGCTGGAAGTCCAAGCCCCTAGCCCACAAAACCTCCTTTACCCCCTCTCTCCAACCCTTTCGAGGACGACCCCTACCTCGCCTTCCTTCCCCTATAGATTTATATGCTTTCCATGTCATTCTACTTAATCCATTCTCTTTAAATGACCAAACCACCTCAACAACCCCTCTTCTGCCCTCTGACTAATACTTTTATTAACTCCACACCTTTTCCTAATTTCCACACTCCGAATTTTCTGCATAATATTTGCACCACACATTGCCCTTAGACAGGACATCTCCACTGCCTCCAACCGTCTCCTCGCTGCTGCATTTACCACCCAAGCTTCACATCCATATAAGAGTGTTGGTACTACTATACTTTCATACATTCCCTTCCCCTGTATATATTACTAAATGTAAAAGGAGAAACTTTCGTTTTTCCTTTTGGGCCACCCCGCCTCGGTGGGATACGGCCGGTGTGTTGAAAGAAAGAAAGAACTGGTACACAAGCCCCATACTCAGTGATTTCTTGCAAGTGAACATGACAGATGTTTGTGGCACAGTGCATGCAAATCGTAAACATATGCCCAGGTTCAACGCTGGCACTCGTAGAGGTGAAGTGCAGGTGTTTGCTGTCAATGACATCATGGCATTTTGGTGGCATGACAAACGAGATGTCACACTGTTGTCATCGGTTCACCCTAACAAAATGGCAGACACTGGCAGGCAGCATAGAGAGAACAATGTACCCATTATAAAACCTGCAGCTGTGATTGACTACACCCTCAATATGCGTTCAGTGGACAAATGTGACATGCAGATTGGGTTTGCTGATTGTGTTCACAAGAGTTATAAGTGGTACATAAAACTCTTTTTCCATATTCTGGACATTTCCATGCTCAATGCTTATATGTATAAGACGAGGACCAGAAACAAACCACCATATGGCGAATTTTGTTTGTCTGTCATCAGAAAAATAATAATCAAGTACCAAGGAACAACACCTGCAATAGAAAACCGCCCACGAAATTATCAACAACTAACTTCGCGTCTGAAACATGGTGATCACTTCCTAACAAAACTGCCTGCTACTGCTTTCAAGAAAAAGGCTCAGAAGAGGTATTACGTCTGTGCACATAAAAAAAAAAAAATGCCTAAAACAACGTAAAGATACTCGTTTTGTGTGTGAGGAGTGTAAAACACCACTGTGCATGACACCATGTTTCAAAGACTTCCACAGGCTGCAGAACTTCTAGAAACATGTCTTGTGACAGTATGTGTGTGTATAAAATATAGAAAAATAGTAATAAACAACATTTTATATTGTTTGTTTGTGTAAACACATTTTGTAAACAATATAGTGACAACAGTGTTTGTGCAGTTATTGTGTAGTATAGAAAGTGCTCATATTGGTCTCACAGGCCATAAAAGTTACTTGAAAAAAAAAAAAAAAATAATAGAAAAAAGTGAACCGCATATGGCAATTTTGCCGTATATGATTCACTTTGTCAACTTCACGCCTCCACATCTCAGTAAGTATTGATGGCAATTTTTTTTTTTTTTTTTTCAAATATTTTCCGACCCTGAGAACAGGTTTGGGAGAGGGCCTGCCGACCCTGAAAGGGCTAAATTAATTGAAATGCCATTAATCTGTTCCAGCGTAGTAGAAGTATTACGCTCGTACTGCCTCGCAAACTCCACAACAACCAGCACACCTCGTTCACGTTTATCAATGATTTCATGCTTAAATTCAATAGACATCATCCTCTTTTTTCTTTTCAGCACTGTCCTTACCACTTACTTTCTTAGGACACCCATGGTTAGAAA